GAGTTGCAGCAAGAAAGCCATTGCTAAGACATCAGAATAAGAAAAGAGGCTTGTCCAGGCCGTGAAACACTGCCAATGGAATACTACTACAGGATTTTTAGACGTCATTGAATAGGCGAAAGGATGGTTCCTCAGTGTGTGCCATCAACTGTCAAACCTGGAGTAGGAAACGTGATGGTCTGGGGCTGTTTCGCTGGATGCAGGGTCGGTGACTTGTACAGAGTGAGAGGCATCCTGAGCCAAAATGGCTACCTCTGCATTCTGCAGAGTCAAGCAGTACCCTCTGGTATGCGTCTAGTTGGTCAGGGGTTCATCCTACAGCAAGATAATGTCCCAAAACAGAAGTCCAAGCTATGCCAGAACTACCTTATATCTGCCAAAGGTGGCTACTTTGATAAGTCACAAGTTTATAACATATTTTGGTTTATAAGTTGTTTCCATTATTTCTTTTTTAACATCACTTGTTTATTTGTTCTATGCTTTCATTTCAGAGTACAGTGACATTAAACTGCATAAATTTTAACAAAAAAAATGGAAAAATTGTGGTGTTCTAAAACTTTTGACCGGTAGTGTACATGTAGACAGACACTGAGCATTTGAGCAAAAGCTTGCCAAAAAAGAAAATCGGCCAATTAGCCAGCTGATTATCATGATGCTGTTACGAAATGCTATTATAGTGTAACTGGAACACAAGTCCAAGAGCAAGCTATGTTTGGTGTAAATGCTGTAAATCTAATGCATTGGTGAACCAAATAACTGAATATCAACAATATTTTGGAGCAAAGTAAAAGATTCGAGTGGGAAGTTTATCTGTATTAAATTTGTGAAACACCTGCATTATGTATTGTTTATTTATTTATCCCATTTAAGTATTTATTCTTTAGAATACATTTCTATTACTTATAATGATATATTTATTAGTGTCATTCATTTTACAGATTTTTATTTTTAGGTTTTTGATGTACAGTAATATGTTTCCTGATTCTTCTTTTTATATTTAATTATGTCTAAGTCTGTGTTTTGTAACATCTGCGTTATCTGTGGTGATGGCAATAAATCTTACAAGAGCAGTAATGTCCTTTTTTGTGGTTAAATAAAGATTAGTGTCTGCCTTTGTGTGTGTGTTTAATATGCAATAACAATGACGCCAATAATAATATTAAAGAGCCATGATTATTAAGTACTGCTGTTTAATCAATCATTGACACCAACAGGCTTAATAATATGAGATATCAATAAATCAGTTGTAAAACATTAAGGCAAATATTTACAGGAAGATAAACTATTGAAACACACTCATGATGTGTTTTTCTCATAGAAAGTAGGAATGTTGTAGGCCTGTCTTGTTAGTATTTATAAATCACAGGAAGTGAATCTAAAAAATTATATCATATTTGTGTTGTTCTCAGAATGAGAGTTTTTTTTTTTACCCTCTTTCTAGTAACCTTTAAAAATTCTAACCCTGAGCATACAGAGGAATGTAATTTCTTCAAGACTCATTCTTATTCTTTGAATGTTATATGTTCTGTTTTTATTATTACATACAGTGGTGCTGCTAGTTGTAAATTAATTACCTAAATAAAACAATTAAAAAATAAATAAAAACAAAAATATGAATTGGAAATTGGCCCTTTATGCTCTGTGAACAATATTTCTTGAGCACTAAGCCAAGTGTAAACACTAATGAAAAACAAGCAGGCAACACATTTACTTTTAGAGGCAGGATTTATTATATTACATTTATTTGAACATTAGTAGCATTTGTAATTTTCATATTTCCTTAACTTGGTATACAGTTATAAATTATTTGCCCAATTATAAAGCATGAATAAAATAAATGACAAAAATGTGGGCTGGAATATGACCAGTTTGCTTTGTGAATTATATTTATTGAGTAAAAAACAGATTTTAAACACTAATGGGTTTTCGAAATAAACAAAGCAGTTGTTCAAGGTGCTATTGTCAAAAACATCTAACAAATAAGTGTAAGATGAGGATAATGTACAAAAATCTAATTACATTTAGTGTATTTGTATTTATATTACTGGTGATTAATATATTTGCTTGACTTTGCACACAGTGCTTGTGGAGTCCTTTATGTCTGCACTGAAGACAGCAGGAAATAAGACACGGTGTCCTTGAGTTGTTGTTTAAACGCTTGTTATTAGACTCTTTTGTTTCCCGTGTTTAATGTGTTTAATTTTCACAACACAACTTGACAACAAAGTCTCTCGACACTCAGACATAATGACGTCAGCCCTGTCTGGCTCGCGCCGAGGGTGGGGGGTGCTGGAGGCGCGCGGGGACGCGAGAGAGGAAGGAGGGAAAAAAAAAAAAAAAAAAAAACCTGAACCATCATCAGCGCGCTGCGGTGCGGGGTCACGAACTATGACCTTTAACAGAAGAAAACCAAAACATATATTTTATAAAATAGCAGAGCGTCCTAAATCTGTGACCGCCGCTTCCCGGAGGTAAGTCCCGGTCCCGGACTGAAAACACAAGAAAGCTGTCTGAGATACCGGATCATAAAAGCGCGCAGCTAATCGCCCGGCTAGCCTGCTAGCTAGCCGATGCGGAGCTCCCTTCCTGCCCGTCTCCGGCAGCTCAGGATCCGGGCATGGACCGTTGCGCGCTCGGCGCAGTCTGACAGACAGATAAACTAACTGTTAATACGTGACACCGCTGTCGACTTAGCCTGAACTAATCCCTGCATGCTAAAATGTCAGATCCGGAGGGAGACATGGGCACTGTCGGCTCATACTGCAGCCCCCGTTACGTTTACTTGCATGAAGCTAGCTGGAACAGCTAACACTGCAAAGCTACAGTTGCTGCAGATGAACTCGACCCTTTTACCTTTGCCATCCCGGGGACAGGAGTGGATTGTGATTAGTGTGTCTTAATTCATCACAGCGGCATTTTTACATTTGTCGTTAGATTATATGCAGTCACCCACTTTGCTGTCTGGAAAGAAAATTGCTGAAATATATTTATCATAAGGATTCGTCTCCGGTGTTTTTGGCTGGCTGCCAGATTCTCCATTTTGTTCTGTGTTGTGATGCGTTTGGGAACTGAAGTAGTGATGGACATACTGTTAGACCAATCTGTAAACAATAAGAAGCTGTGTACTTCTCCCTGTAGTCTGTGGAGCACTGCAGGCACGTCTGTCAGAGTTCACTGAGGCTGTCAAGATCACAGTAGAACACCAAATCAACAATGACAAAAGTGTCAAATGCAATGATGATGTGAAGAATAGATTTGATTTACTTTATCCCACCACGGAAGATTGAAAATGTAATCGGATTTGGCACACAGGTTTTTAAATATCAATTTAATGTATAGGGGAGATGTCCATAGTCCTGTTTTTGTCTATGTTAGATTGTGTAATTTTGTATGACGCTCTCTGTTCACCCACTTCATGGCAGTTTTTCTTTAAGCACTTCTTTCAAGTGTGTCTGACTGTGAAAGGCACAGCTTCAAATCACTCTTGATTTCTGGTTCCTTTCGTTAAGTTTCTTGACTTTAGCACAAATATCAGTTACATCATATTATGTCACAAAGTGTGGTTTGCAAAGCATCATATTAAAAAGTGCGAACACTCAGATTTCTAGTTTTCTGCTCACAATATTCTTGACACACCAAAAGTCACCCTCATCTTCACTCATACAGACTAAAAGCTTGGAAACATTGCATGCATTGCACTCATAGTGATGCAACAAGTATGTGCCCCAGTAGATGACAGAAAAGAAACTGCTGTTTTGCTGTCTACACACTCTTATGACAAAATAAGGAACTATTGCTGCTGTTGCTGCTGCTGTTGTTTAAATGATATTAGTATCTCAGTGTGGTTAACACAGTTTCAGTTATGAGGCTTTGTGCTTTTAATTGGGAATAATTTGCTTCAGAATGGATCGGCATCATTTAAAATGCAGTGACAGAGTTTTCACTCACCCCATATTTTATAATCAGTGTAAGGTCACAGAGAGAGGCAATGGAAGTGGAAAACGCAGGTGTGAAGCAGGGATGTTCATATGAAATGAAGTAAATTTGTACAGTGTGTGTGTGTGTGTGTGTGTGTGTCTGTTTGCATTTCCTTTAAAGTCACCAGGATGGGATTGTGACAATTTTATGAGTTGTCAAGTCAGTGCTTTTTGGAGCATGACTGTGGGTTTCCCTAAATGGAAACACAACTTTGGTGTTTATGTCTCAAAGCTAGTCATATGTTTCTCATAACTGATCAAAACAATGTAATGAGAAACTGCCATGCTTCTGCTGCCAAGTCACACAAATCAGACAAAATCAACAAGCGGAAATTAACTTTCATGAAAGATAATCCTGTCACTTCCTATTATTATGCATTTTCTGTGATCCACCAGCACCGTTGTATCTAAAAATATGTTCTAGTGTTGACCTGCTCCTCTGCGACAGTTGACACCTTTGTCGTTGATAAATGTCTCTGGCATCCTTCCATACAGACCTCACTAATGACCTTACATCATCATGACGACCAACCTGAATCTGCTCTCTCAGCAGAAAATGGACTCTGAGCATGAGGCAGAGGTGAGTGTGCACCAGTAGAGTTTCATGATTTGCTAGCAATTGTTCCACATAACCGATGTGAAAGTTGTCTAACAAAAAATGCCATGATGCTATTATGTTAAGCTTGGGGTTCTGTTAGAGATCATTTGCATTTACGTGAGTGTATCACACTGTATAACAATATTTCTATGTTACACACATACTCAAATGTTTTTGTTTGAATATATTTGTGTTGCAGACTTATTCATTGATCCTTTGCATGTGTTTAACCTCGTTAGGCGCCATCCTCTCCATCAGACTCAGTAATGACTGAGTCTCCACAGCGCTTTCAGGTCATCTCCACTGAGCCTGCCACAACACCGCAGCGAATACAGGTAACTTCTTGAACCTCAGAGAATGTGACACTGCCACTACCTGTTGATATTATCCCCTTTTAGCAGCAGCAATGAACAAGTTGATGCTACAACGTGTGACTTAGCTCTTCCACCTTCATCATCACTCTCTTCTCCTCTTTACTCCGACCCTATTGGTGCATGTTCATTTTCACCTCCCTCTCTTTCTGTCATCCTCCTCCATCTCTAACACCCTCAGATTGTAACCGACCAGCAGACAGGTCAGAAGATCCAGATAGTGACAGCGATGAACCCGTCCAGTGCTCCCAAGCAGCAGTTCATTCTGACTACGGCTGACAGCTCAGGGGCAGGCAAGGTTATCCTGGCCTCACCAGACAGTCACAACACTAAGCAGCTCATCTTCACTGCTGCAGACAGCCTGATGCCAGGAAGGATACAGGTATAATTCCCTCACAATATCACCACACACCACATACCTTGGTAATACTACTGGCAATATTCTGCTTTCTACTATTCACAACATGTTAAGGTGAAACACAAGACTACTGGCATGTTTTTGACTTTGCCTTTCAGATTGTCACAGATCCCGTGTCAATGGAACGGTTGTTAGGACAGTCAGGGGATTTGAGCCGACCACAGCCGGTGGAGTACTGTGTGGTGTGCGGGGACAAGGCTTCAGGTACTCCAGCTCGCACTTGCGTGACCTACACATGTGATGCTTTGAATGTGCTTTGACGAATCCTTCCTGATGCCCAGTCCAACAGCACTTTTAGTTTTACAATGTCAGCAGTCTCTCCTACATGTACACAGGGGACTCGGACACCTTTTGACTGCTTTTGTCTGCATTTAGGGCGTCACTACGGAGCAGTCAGTTGCGAAGGATGTAAAGGTTTCTTCAAGCGGAGTGTGAGGAAGAATCTGACCTACAGCTGCCGCAGCAAGCAGGACTGTGTCATCAACAAGCACCACCGCAATCGCTGCCAGTTCTGTCGACTGAGGAAATGCCTTAAGATGGGGATGAAGACTGAGTGTGAGTTTGTATCCACGCACGACACAGTCCAAAAATACAGGTCCACTGAAAAACTAGTCATGTATTGTCAATATCCGTGAGGAAAAAGTCTTAAATTTAATTTACAAAGACAAGTGAGACTGATGTTAATTGCCCTGCAGGCTGTTTAGCAAACACCATCGCTACATTTAGCTAAAGCTAGCGATGTAGCTCCAGTAGCTACAAAATGAATCTTCTCATAATGGTGTCAGTATCGGTTTTAGTAAGAACTTAAATGAATTTAGGTCAATGAATTGATCAGGTCATTCATCCGTCACAGAAAGGATGGATTAGTGATCAGTTATATTACTAGGAATTCTACGTAGCTGAAAAAATGTGATATGAATGTAGAAAAAGAAAATAATGTCCTAAATATAGAATTATTCACATTATTGGTCCTCTAAGTTTTCTGACTTTAGTTGTTTTGTATACCTGTTAATGCATTAAATTGCATTCTGTATTATTTTGACAAACTTACTGCAGAAATTCTGATTATTCATCTTTAGAGTGGAGAGACAGCAAGCTCCTCTCTAACCCCAAACACCGTAGATTCAAGCCGTAGACTGTGTATAAAAGATGAATGTAGCTCTGAGGCCTGAAAACTGAAGCCAGTGCACAAGTGCCTGAAACCTGCATTTATACTACTGGCAAACAGGGCGCGACTCCTCTGGTTGCAAAAAGAAGCCTGTTTGTATTAAAGTCTATGAGAAAATGACCCTGCTTGTCACTTGATTGATTAACTCATTAAACATTTTTCTGATGACTTTATAGTTTAAACTGCTAGTTTCAAGTCTTCAGTACAGTATGACTTAAATTTGGATCACATTTAGGATAAAATAGATGACAAAGCAGAGTATGATTTAGGTGTTGCTGCCTTGTGACTGACAAGTTGCTACTGTATAGGTGTCTGTAGTGTCTCACTTAGATCCACCCCTCACTTATCCAATTTAAAAGAAAATCAAGATGGCAGACTTCAAGCGTAAGTCAACAAACCACTGCATAATGTCACTGTGGCTGTGTCCATTTTGTTATGCAGTCTATGGTTCAAGTCCTCAGGCAGAAATTTCAAGAATTCTAACTATTTAAACCAAAAGGACCTTGTGTCTGAAGCAGCACTGATGTGTTCTTCAGTAAAGCACTGAATTCCTACTAGCGTGCTCTTCTGCACTTGCCTGCAGAAACGCGTAGAAGATTGTGACATTATGACCATTCATTTAAATGCATTGGACAATTGTTAATACAGACTGCTTGCTGTTAATCCTCAGCTGTCCAGAGTGAGAGAAAGCCCATTGATATAGTGCCCAGAGAGAAGCATGCCAACTGCGCTGCCTCCACCCAAAAGATCTACATTCGCAAGGACCTGAACAGTCCTCTCATCGCCACACCAACCTTTATCTCCGACACAGAGACCGATGGCTCCAGGTTCGTGGAAATCACACGTGTAAATGACAGGCCAGAGCGCTTTTGAGTTGTTACGTATTTAAGCTTTCAATGTTGTCTTAAGTGAATATGTTTTGATGAGGCTCTGTGTCATGTGTAGATCCAGCCTACTCGACCAGGGGATGCTGGTTAACATCCAGCAGCCGGTCATCCAGAGTGATGGAACTTTGCTGCTTGCAACTGACTCAAAGGTACATTTGATAATGGACCAGTGCATCACTAAATAAATCATCCTCGTGTTCTGCTGCTGTCTCCCTCTCCTCCTTTTTGTAAAGCTTCCCATTCAGAATTTTGCATAGTATACAGTAAATTCCGGACTATAAACTGCTATTTTTGTCACACGCTTTAAACACTGCAGCTTAAACAATGATGCGCGTAATTTATGGATTTTTACGAGTTTTACGAATTTGCCTCGAGATGAAAGTGACATTGAGAACGAAAGAGAGCCTGAGGAAGTGTGTGATGAAGTAATGTTCAATTCCGACACTGAAGAAGACAACTTTAGTGGTTTTAGTGCGCAGGAGGAAGATGAAGATAGCGATCAATGATTTTCCCTGGTAGGCGACTATTTTTTATTTGTTTAACCAGCCTACAACGTGGACACTTGCAGCTTATAGACAAGTGCAGCCTATATATAGATATATATACACACAACACTTGTTTTCTTATTAAAGATAGTGGGTGCGGCTTATATTAAGGTGTGCTTAATAGTCCGGAATTTACGATAAATGAGTGTGGACTCCAGTATCTGTACAAGACACTCTATTTTGTGTCTATAGTGTATCTCGCTTTAACTGACCTGTATGATAATGATGAAAATAATCTACACTGTCTCATTCGTTTTCAGATGGATTCTGGGCAGAGTGATTTGGGGACGCTAGCTAATGTGGTGACATCATTGGCCAATCTGAGTGACTCACTAAAAGAAAACCTGAACAATGGTGATACCTCAGACAGCCAACACGAGGAGTCTGCCAGCGAGATAACACGGTTAGTCAACAGTGTACAGAGAGGAGGGGAGTGTGTTTGTGAGAGATGTTCCATCATTCACTGTAACAGTGCCTCCATGACGCTTTGTTTTTGTCAGATTTGGTCTCATATTTCAAGCCAGTGGCCTCTTAAAATGGACCATATTTGTCTCTACAGATGGGAAAAAGTCAAAATGATAGATAAAACAAGGACTCCCATAAAGGTTGTCTTCTTACTTTTGTTTTTAAGTGGAATATTTGCTGTATAATTTTGTAACAAAAAATAAGTTTAGAAGCCAAAGTCAGCCAGTGTTTTCGATTATAATACGGCTGATAATGATATTCCCACTAACCTTACTCTCTTCTTTTCATTTTAGATAGTATTTCCTGGATTATTTAGTATTTTTAATTAAATCACTTGGTTTTTTCATTTGAATTTACAGGCTAAAATTTTGTCATTATGATTCCTAATCATGTATATGTAACAAAACTTTCTCAAAACTACTGTAGACTACAACAAACCAAGAAAAGGCTGGAAGAATAATTAACAAAATGACTAAAAGTAGCGTTATCTTTTTGTCATGACTCTGGTAAATGTAAAATGTTACGTATAAAAGAAGGAAACATATTTGTATTTATGTTGCAGGGAATTTCATGTTATTTAATGTAAAATTGTTGTGTGTCTGTCTGGCTGTCTGTCCATGTGTTGCACACAGTGCCTTTGACACCCTGGCCAAGGTCTTCAACCCACCAGACGTAGGGGTCAGACAGAATGTGGCTGATAAGTCACAGTGTGTCAGTGGGACAACGATCCAGCTGATTGGTCGAGACCAGGAGACCCCCATCATCGAGGTGGAGGGACCACTGCTCACAGATAGCCATGTCGGCTTTAAAGTAAGCAGAGTCCACTCATAAACCGACTGGAAAAATAGCAAACACGCATGTTGAGCGTAATTGATATTTGAAGGACTGTAACTGTCCACAAGAGAAGGACACTGGAATGTCAGAGGACATCAGAGGGAAGCAAAAGCCTTTATTCACATTTTTAGGATTATGTTTGGCATTATTGTCTTATGATTTGATGCGCTTGTAGAGATACAGACAGGAAATGTTGAAAGAGAGGTGGAAAGAAGTATGACCTGTAACAAATATCCCCCTGGCAGGAAGTCAGTTTGTGGATATTGTTGTTTTGTGGAATTTGTCTTAACCATTTCAATACTGGGTTGCTTCAAATAAGCCTATTTGTGTGTGTTTGACATTCATTTGTTTGTAGTGGTTGGTAGTTCTTAAATAGTCCTTCTTGGCTTATTTTTTCTAGCTGACGATGCCCAGTCCAATGCCTGAATATCTGAATGTACACTACATCTGCGAGTCGGCATCCAGACTTCTCTTCCTCTCGATGCACTGGGCACGTTCCATCCCTGCCTTCTCAGCTCTTGGGTGAGACAGCATTTGACACATGAACACTCAGATTTTGTTGTTAGAAAATAACACTGTTAGCTCGTAGTTATTTACAATATTAAGCTTTGCAAGCAATGCAGGAATGGAGTGCAATACTGTCAGTCGATACGGTCACATTTGTATTCGTCTCTGTATTTCTCAGTCAGGAGGCGAACACCAGTTTGGTGCGAGCCTGCTGGAACGAGCTGTTCACTCTGGGTCTTGCTCAGTGCGCTCATGTGATGAACCTGTCAACCATCCTCGCTGCCATCATCAACCACCTTCAGAGCAGCATCCAGGATGGTATGGACCACAGACCTCGTCATCATTTCACAGTAGGACACACACATATAAACAGGAGTAAAGAAATGTGATTTTTATTTTCTTCCCAAATTGTTAACAATCTAGTTCATTTAAACTGGGCATACTTCCCATAAAAACTAGCTACTGCGGCTCTGTGGGATATACTTTGCACTTTCCACCTCTGCTGTACAGATTTGGGTAAAACTACTGTTTTGTACAACTCCTTTTTTCTTCTCTGAATCTTTATAGTGGAGGTGCAGAGTGCAACGTTGGCATTAATCTTAGTGCCACAGTAACCACAGTAATGGGAAGTGTGCCAGGTTGAAATACACTGGAAAGCTCCTTTAAGACTAGAGGAGTGAGTTCATTTCTCACATTGTAAAATCTGAAGAAGGCATTGCTCCATTTATTTGCCAAACCACAGTGTCATTGTTGACATTATTGATCAGATTGTGATTAAACTTGATCTGTTTTATAATTTTGTCCATGTGTCATAATCGACAGCTCGAGTACCACATATTTAATTTTGATGTAAAACTGTGATCTTGCATGCTTAATGTGTGCTCAGCTACATTTGGGAAAAAAAAGACTCAGTCTGCCACTGACTAACACTCATGGAGAATTGCATCCTTTAATTATCATTTTTGTTGCATCTCAGAGTGACTTCCTTTGTTAGATAAAGTTTAAACAACTCGAAAGTAAACCGCGATTATTGATACATCAGATTGTCTGTTTTCTTCCATCTCAGACAAGCTGTCAGGAGAGAGAGTGAAGCAGGTGATGGAGCATATCTGGAAGTTCCAGGAGTTCTGCAACAGCATGACGAGGCTTGAGACTGACAGTTACGAATATGCCTACCTAAAGGCTATAGTGTTATTCAGCCCTGGTGAGTCTGATTATCAAAATAATAATGAAACTCAAGCTCTTACAAGTTAAATAAAACAAACTCCACACATGAATGAATGAAATTTAGGCAAATGACCAGTATTCACATGTTGAGTTCCAACTGTTGTGTTTTTGACTCTTTAGATCATCCAGGTGTGGACAGCAGCGGGCAGATAGAGAAGTTCCAGGAAAAAGCTCTAATGGAGCTGCAGGACTACGTGCAGAAAACCTACCCAGAAGACACCTACAGGTACTTTTACACCAGCAATACAACACTCACCCCAGTTAAAAAGGTGGCGACTGTCACTGTGCAAGTATGATGAGCGAACGAAATGTATTTCCCATTGAAAGCATTAAAACCTTCATGGTAGTATTTTCTCGTCATGTATGAATTAATATGGAACTGGTTATGTGAAAACCACACTCTATATGTTGACAGTGTAAGAAGAGCTAAGATGGAGAAGGGATTGATGGTATTCAACTTTTGTTTTCGTGGCATGGTATTGTAGTGGTGTGTTTTTACAACTTCTCACAGGCGCCAGTTTTTATTGATATATGAAACTGTTCCAGTGGCTACTGTCTACCAGCAGATTGGGTTTTATCATCATTGTTTACTCTTTGCAGCATGTAAATTATTGAACTGTTATCGCATCACTGCTGTCACGTACCACCCTCATTGGCTTATGATGATTCGTATGTGTGTGTACTGTGTCACGGCAATACTATGCTCGTTCCACTTACACGTCCTACTTATTACATTAGATTAATAAACAAATTACAGTTTGCCAAGCTTTGTTCAATGTTTCAATTGCTGTTGCCATTGGTCACAGTACAAATGGTTAGCTGCACTGGCTGAGCAGCAGTGACGGCTGCCAACGATGGGATCATCCAGTATAACTTAATGGCATTAGCTCAATTTTACATTAGTGTAAACTTTACATGTGTGAAATATTGCTTTTAAATGGCAACTGTCTTTTTTGTGTAGCCCATAATAATGACATACAGCTGTCCGCATTGGAGAATGTCAGGAAAGGGTGGAGCCAAATCTGAAACTGGTAGCTTAGCAAAGCACAAATAGTGGGCTTTTACTAGAGGCACGATATTTGTTTGGGCAACTTGTGCTGACATGACAGGAAGAAAGTGAAAGAGTGGAGAGGAATGAGAGCACAAAATTAAAAGTAGCAAAAAAAATACAGGGAAAAGGTAGTGCATTGCTATGCTGCTATTTTGTATAAATTATGACTTCCCCCCCCTAACTGTTAGCTGAGATAGTTTATGATGCTACTTACCTTCTTTTGCCTTGGAATTTGTTTGACCTGGAGGAGGACATCAGTCTATATTAGCTTAGTTTAATAACAAGGATTGTTTCACCTAGGGGCTGCAAGGCGGCGCAGTTGGTTAGCACTGTTGCCTCGCAGCAAGAAGGTTGCCGGTTCACGTCCCGGTGGGGGCACTGTGTGCTTGGTTGTCTGTCTCTTAAGTGCAGCCCTGTGATAGGCTGGCGACCTGTTCAGGGTGTCCCCTGCCTTCGCCTTGAGTCAGCTGGGATAGACTCCAGCCCCCCCACGACCCTAGTGAGGATTAAGCGGTGTATAGATAATGGATGGATGGATGTTTTGCCTATTTCCACTTTTATTCGAATACAAATACAAATAATTTTGGTCCCTTCACAAATACAGATATAAATCTAACAACTGGCCTCACTGCACATCCCTAATACCAGAGGAGTCACGCATGGGTGGTTTAACAGCAGCAACATGCCACTAGACAGAGTTGAAACATGAGGAATCAGCGTATGACACTAAAATAAAAGTGGATCACCAGTGGTCTGGTGAACAGCAGTGCCTGCCAGAGATACAGCAGCAGTGTATGATAGTTACAGTGGCATACTGTAAGTGTCTGGTAAATTGACAGGAAATTGGCTCTTGAAGAATGTGACATCTTCATCATCTTACTTGCAGATAAGCAAGTGGGTACAAGAAGTCAAGATAACTTGGCAGGAACTGTTGTGTTTGTGTCCTCAGGCTGACGCGTATCCTGACTCGTCTACCCGCCCTGCGCCTAATGAACTCAAGCATCACAGAGGAGCTCTTCTTCACTGGCTTAATAGGTAACGTCTCTATTGACAGCATCATTCCCTACATCCTCAAGATGGAGACGGCTGAGTATAACAGCCAGGACTCGGACTCTACAGAATGACACCCCATCACTCCCAGCACCCAGAACTGTCAATTTAAAGATTAGTGAGTCTCCACTTCAGGTACACTCTTTGTCTCTCGAGGAATGCAGTGTTGAACTGCAGTCCAAAATCCTGCAACAGCCCCTTGTTTTCTAACAATACATGGGGTAAAGACATTCAGGAATACATAGTAGACTAAAATAACACAGCATTGGAAAGCCAGGATGACTGGGATGAATGTTTTCTGGAGCTGATGCAGTCAGACGCTATGAACTAAATGACAAAAGAATCCTCTGCAGCTGCAGCTGTGCTCATCTCCTTTAATGTCATTATAGCACTTCAGCCTAATAACATTACCTTTTGACCTAAGCCTTTTAAAATGTTGTAAATGTATCTAAGCCTTACCATGCACTCTCATGCTGATCATAGTTTAACAGTTGCTTTAGATGCCGATATCAGATGAGATACACAAACACAGTCCAGAATCAAAAAGTCATATCAACACGAACAGTACACGTGGAAGAGGAAGCTCACCTGTGTACTGAAAGAAGTCTGATTACTCTGAACATGTAAAGAATTAGTTTGCATTTGCAAAGATCAACCCAGTAGAAACTGCAAGTTTACTGACTGTGCTGATAAATTTGGTTTTAACAAAGTATGAATTTTGTGAGTGCTTTACAAAAATGAAACATGTTTTCTCTTTTTCCAGTTTTCACACAATTGGCATTTATGTACAGTTCGTTAATTAAATCAGTTGGAAAGATGACTTCAATCAGGCATAAGTACCAAACCTCAACTATATTACTTTATCTGTAAAGTACTTAAATAGCCTGGCTGTCATAGCATCGAGCTTGCACACAGTGCATTCTTAGCTCAACTACAACACAACTAATGTCTAATTTCATTCTTTCAGTTTTACTTTTAACTTATAATTGCAAAAATTGCATAAGCCAAAATAACCGGTTCAATTGACCATGTGTCTTTTCCTATATTAAAAAACATCTCAGAGATTTTTTATGTGCATGTGTGTTTATGTGGTACACTTATTCCTAGGTTATCATGAATATGTTGCTAACATGATCTGTGCAATCACCTCATCACTTTTCCCTTTATGACAATCAATTATGTGTTGTTTCCTTCTGTCCCATTGGTGTCATGACTGTGCTTCTTAATTTGCTTTTTCTGTGTGTATTTATCAGTGGCAATTATTTCCTTTAAGGAATGCAATTATCTTAAAGATTTGGGTTCAGAAATTTAACTTATGTGTAGCTATGCTACTGTTTTTGTACTTGTACTGTTTGCTTTTGTATTCTGGTGCACATCAATCAGCTTTCGTGGCATTCCACTGCATTCATGCTGACTAAACTTTGTGTTTTGTATGTTTTCTGTAAACTTTTATTTGTTGTGAACAAATTTGCTTGTTGGATACTAAGTGTACTTAAAGTACTTTTGGGCAGGTTTCCCTGATTTAACAAAAGAGTGGAATTTTCTGGGAAGCCAGTCATGAGTGCATTGATGTCTTGAAGACAATATGGAGATATGCATGGGCTTACCCTCTGGTCTAATGGTTCAAAAAAGCATCTACAGCAACATGAATGATAATGGGGATGTAAATAAGTCAACAATGACCATGTCTTGTGAAATAAATGTCAGTTCTAATATTTGGGTTGAAAACCCGTACAGACTGTTTGTAAAGGCACTGGTGTGAAACGACCTTTGTACATGTAATTTCATTAAAATGAGTGCATGTTGTTTTTAAGCAGGGTTTTATAATCTTGTCGCTGTCTGCCCTAATAAGGAGCATTGTTATAATTTTTATAGTGCATTGCAGTGCATGAAGAAGTTGCTTAAGCGCATTTTATTAAATGCTGTATGAAAAAATATTCATTTAAATGTTGTGGCTTTAAGATATTTACCATGAGCAGCTCCCACATTAGAGGATATTAGAGCTTTTTTTGTTATTTTTTTGTGGATTAAGTATCCTATGGTTAAAATTTTATACGGTGTAAATGTACTTTGTTTTTCTGCTCATGTAAAATGTATTTCTTCAAACATTGAGATTGAGAAATTCAAACATTCATGTTTTGCTGAAGTTGGTCACAACCTTACATTTCTACCTCACACCGATGAAGATATAAAACAAATGTATTAATGACTGAGCTCCTGTATCAGCATTCCAGTCTCTAAGGCTGGCTTCTCTGAAGCCACACATTTTAAACTAAATAAACAGTTACTCATGAAATATAACATGATGGAAGTCGTTTTTGCTGAAGACTGATAATAAGAGTGTTTCTCTCAGTAGAACTGTCTATGGGCCAGTGACATTTGATGGGTTGTCTGAATTTCTTGTATTATCAGTAACAATATGTACAATACCACGTATTTTTTCTTATCAGTTAGATGAAAGAGGTCTCGTCACTAATAAATACAAATGCCCGGTGATAAAGTCAGCTCCAAATTGTAAACGTAGCATTTGAGATGTGGAAACTTAAAGCATTCAGTCAGAGCAACATTACTCATACTAATACTAATATTAATATTTTGTGCTAATGCACCCTGAACAAGTCCAGATTTCAATAAAATGTAAAGTTTTGTGTTATGCTTAACAAAGACCTTATTTATAAGATGATGTCAAAGCAAAAAAGAAAAAAAAGTTTGACGAATTCCAAACATTTATTTGTGACACTTAACTCTGATTCAGAAAACAAAAAAGTAAAATGTAATAAATATTTATCTGAATGTGGGATTTTAATATTCGTTCTCAGTTAGAATCGTTTTCAAACTATATTCTTCTTTGCAAATATGTTTTCTACTTTTCTATATAGTGGTTATCACACTTCTCTGTTAGGTCTTGGTCTTACAATAATAAGGAACAAGCGCAAAGTTCCGGTTAAAAAAAAAACAAAACCCAAAACAAAAAATTACAACTTCCGTCGCTTCTCGGTCGCCCGGTGCCAATGAAATGAAACGTCATCAAAACGCGTCTTTCACCGTGTGCTTGTGTGACTTCAGGCGCTCGGGACAGGTATCAGATGGTGTTTTGTCAATAATAAAAGGTTCAGAATGCCTATGAAAGGGAGGTTTCCGATCAGGAGGACTCTGGAGTACCTCCAGAAGGGCGACATCATCTTTAAAAACAGAGTGAAGATCATGACGGTGAATTACAACACGCACGGAAAGCTCAGCGATGGAGCAAGGTCAGAGCTAACGGCTAACGGTGTAGCAAGACACAACACACGGAGATGTCCCGACAGATTTTACACCCAGACTGATTTAAATTAATATAATGCTATAGACAAGTTGACAGATAGAATAAAATCAGCATGCTGAGACCCACTAGCATTAATTTGATCCTAAAGACAAGGCTGTCATTTGCAGCACATTAGTGTTGTTGCACATGTATAAACATGCCAGTTTATACAGTAATACATCAAGTGTATGTAACCAACGTTCAATACTGTGACAGCAAACCAGAGGACAACTAACAGATAATTCCAATCATAATACTGATTAGCACAATAAATTATTCTGTGTGGAAAAATAATGAAAGAGCTCCTCTACAATTCCCCTTTTTTACATCCTCAAATTGCTTGTTTTGTCCGCAAAACTCCAAACACAGTGATGTTTAGTTTCCTGTCATTGAAGACGCACTTTGGGAGTTTTACTGATGTTTACAAAATGCATAAGAATGCACAAGTGACAAATCTATGTTCACAATAGCTGATAAGCTAGTTATTTTAGCAACCCTCCATCCCACAGTCTTTTTTTGTTGTCTAGTCGTCACAACTTTATTCATGCCTTAAAGCACATAAATAAAACCAAAATACTGCAAAGATGTTACTAGACTGTTTTCTACCAGCACCCGTTTCTTCCCAAAATAACACATAATAAGTTTAAAAGAACATTTAAAGCCAATACATTAAATTTTAAATTTTTACAGGTAGCAGATGTGTTCATATATGTTTCCTTGAGGACTTAGAAGCGAATTAGTATTTCACGTTAGGACAACAAGAATTTATGTACATACTTTTTGCAGAAGATTCACTCCATTGACATGATTTTTCATTTTCCTTGATTGGATCAAATAACCAAAGAAAGTTTATAACTTAAGTTAGCATGTATACAAGTGTAAGTTTTGCTCTTTTTTTTTATGGAGAATAAAAAAGTATTGCAGCATGATGGAGACAGGGAAACCTAAATATTCAGAACTTTCATCAAAATCATGCACCATTTGTGGTAAAGTCAGCTTTTTAAAAGTTTACTGTGTAAGTTTGATTTTGAAGCTTTAATGTAAAACTGTTGCTGAACTGTGAACTTCTCTCTTCCCCTCTGTTTTGCAGGAAGTTTGTATTCTTCAATATTCCTCAGATTCAGTACAAAAACCCATGGGTCCAAATAATGATGTTCAAAAACATGACACCGTCACCGTTCTTGAAGTTCTACCTGGGTGTGTAGCCTTACATCTTGTTCGCACTGTACTGTTATTAATGCATAATATTGTATCAGGCTTTCACCTGTCTCTTGTCTCTTTGTCCAGATGATGGGGAGCAAGTGCTGGTAGACGTGGAAGGGAAGGACTATAAACAAATATCACAACATGTTCAGAAGATTTTGGGCAAATCAGAGTAAGATATTAAGAAATATTTCTAAGTGTGGACTATATTTCATGACACTTGCATGTCTGTTACCAGTCGCTTTAGAAAGCATTCCATCTTTAGTTTTTGCACACTTTATAGTGATTTAGCTTTAATTTTTGAACAGATAAAACTGACATCAACCTACAACCAACATTCCATTATAATACAGCACAACATCAACATTAAGCTTCTAGAATTTTTTGCAGATTTATTTCAAATCAAAAGCTGAAATGAGAAAGGTATTGAGGCCCTTTGCGCTGGCTCCAAATTGGGTTCAGGTGCATCTTGTTTGCTGTAATTAGCACTGATGTGTCCCGAACTTTTTTTGCAGTCCGCCTGTGGCAAATTGAATGAATTGGCCTTAGTTCAGAGAAGCACACACCTGTGCAGATAAGGTCCCACAGTTCACACTGTATATCAGCACAAAAAACAAGAAAAAAGTCCAAGTAGCTCTCTACAGACCTCCGTGGTAAAACTGTGACGAGAGGTCGATCAATTTAAGCCCTGACTTGAACCCCACAGACGCTTTCCATCCAGTCTGATGTAGCTTTCAGGGGTGTCGAACTCTGGTCCTCGAGGGCCGCAATCCTGCATGTTTTATATGTTTCCCTCTTCCAACACACATGATTCAAATGATCAGCTCATCATCAAGCTCTGCAGAAGCCTGATAACGATCCTGATCATTTGAATCAGGTGTGTTGGAATAGGGAAACATCTAAAACATGCAGGATTGCGGCCCTCGAGGACCGGAGTTCGACACCCCTGCTAGACGATCATCCAGGTAGAACAGAATAAACTTCCCAACTCCAGATGTGTTAAGCTTGAAAACATTGACCCATGAAGACTTTAGGCTCTGTTACTAGAAGAGCCTCTACAAATCACTGAATTAAGTAGCTGAATACTTTTATAAATGAAGAGTTTCAGTTTTTCAGTTCATTAATTTTTGTTTATTTACAATTCAAATATTACACTTTTAACTGCAAGCTGATATTATAAATAACTGCAGAGAACTGCATCACACCAGCCTGTCCAGTACCGTTGTTTGGATTAAAGAAGTTTAGAAATTCTGACATTGCAGGAAAAGCACAGGTTTTACTAATAGTGAGGATGGCTCTGTTGTTGTTGTGACATTCAGCCAGCACGCACAATACCAGGACCCTGATTCCATTCTCTCTCCACAGAGAAGTGTTACAAGCTGAGGCTCAAGCCAAGATGCAGGCCTCCAACCCTGCCAACTTTGGGCCAGAGAAGTACTGTCTGAGGGAGTGTATCTGTGAGGTGGAGGGCCAGGTGCCGTGTCCTGGCACCACGCCGCTGCCCAAGGAGTTGACAGGCAAACACCGTGCCAAGATGGCAGCATCACAGGAGTAAGAGGCTGAGAAGGACAGTGGACTTTTGTAGATATGCTGGACAATATTATGGCATTGTAACGATTGATTTGGTTTTATATGACTACGTGAGAGGAGTCGCGCTTCATCCTGAAGCAGCAGAAACCTACCAGCACATGATGTTGATGTTTACCTGTCAGTACTTTGGACTAAGTTTGGGAAAACTCAACATCACAACTTGTCTTTGTATACCACGAGACCTGGTTGAGGAATTAACTCATCCACATGTGATTTAAATCTAACATCCTGAGCTGAATACTGTAATGTAAACCTTCAAATAAAACTCAGATTTGTCTGTGTGGCTGCAATAACCAGCTTTTTTACGTCATGTAAACACTGGAGAATCAAGATCCTAAGTAATCACAAAAAACTGTTATACATGAAATGCATTCAAACCATTTCACTTTTTTGTATTTGATGTTGCAGTTGCTAAAATTGCCCAGAACATTTTCCACTTAATACCCCATAATGACACGTCAAAAATAAAAGTTTAGATTTTTTTGAAAATTAAGTAAAAGGGAAAACTAAAAAAATATATATACCTTTGTTTTAAAACCTGAAATCTAGTTAAGGTGGCTGTCATTTTTCTTGATCATCTTTGAGATGTAGATGAACTTGATTGGAGTCCACCTGTGGTAAATTTAATTGATTGGACATGATTTGGAAAGGCAGACACCTGTCGAAATAAGGTCTCAGCAGAAAATGCATTGAGTAAAAACAAAGCAATGAGGTCAAAGGAACAGCTTGCAGAGCTCAGAAACAGGACTGTGTTGATGCACAGATCTGGATGAGATTTTCTGCTGCACTGAAAGTTGGCAAGAGCACAGGGATCTCCAATAATCTTAAATGTAAGTTTGGAACAATCAGGACCCTCTCTAGAGCTGGCCGACTGGCCAAACTGAGCAGGTGGGGGAGAAGGACCTTGGTGAGACAGGTGACCAAGAATGCATGGTGATTGCAGGTGAGCTCCAGAGATCCTGTGTGGAGAGGAAGAAACTTCTAGAAGTAGAACCGTCACTGTACCACTCCACTGATGTGGCCTTTATGGCAGAATGGCCAGACGACACCTCTCCTCAGCGGAAGACATGAAAACCTGCTTGCAGTTTACAAAAGGTAAAAAACCTTACGGACTTATACTTTGAGAAACAAGATTCTCTGGTCTGATGACACCAAGAAGTATTGGGCCTCAAGTGTCATACTGAGAAGAAATTTTGGCACTACTCTCAGCACTTTCCCAATAGCATCCCAAGGGTGAAGCATGGTGGTGGTGGTGGCAGCATCATCCTGTAGTGATGTTTTTTGCAGCAGTGACGGAGAGAGAGAAAAAGCTAAATAAAATAGAGATATCCATAATGGGGCAACGACCTTAAACACACCGCCAAAACAACGCCTTCAGTGGCTTAGGGACAACTCAATGAAAGTCCCAGGAATCTGTTAAACATCTCCAGAGAGACCTGAAAATGGCTGCCTACATCAGTCTCCATCCAACCTGACAGAGTTTGAAAGGGTTTGCAGAGAATTCCCAAATGTTGGTGTATAAAGCTGGTTGTTTTACACCCGAGAAGACTAAAGGCTGCAATCACTGCCAAGGTGAACTAACTGACTGAAGGGTCTAAGTATTTATGTCAATGTGGTATTTCAGTTTGTCCGTTTTCATAAATTTGCAAATATTCCTAAAATCTGCTTTCACGTTGTCATTAAGGGGAACCCCGATAAAACTATATAAGCTCAGATAAGACAACAGGACAAAAAAACACAACCACAGTTTACCGTAGACAAGTTTTTTTTTATTGGTGCTGAGATGGAATTTTCTAAAGTTTTATAAATCAATGTCTGTGTGTCAATGTTTTCAACCTGCAATCATTGTTTTTAATGCAGAGATGTTACTCAAATTACTTCCAAAGCTAAAAGCAACTGCTAACACACAAAGACGCTCCTTGAGTTACTCACACTGTCACGATACATTTACCGTGTTGCGCGTCTTCTGCGGATGTCACAGATAAACAGTGTGAGATCAACAAACAAAGCAGAACCCTCGTCTCTGTCGCCATTTATGAAGAGAAATATGAACATTCTGACAGAAAGCACTAAGACAAATTCATGTTAGGACTGACTTAGCAGCACTGTGATAATACTTGCTGGCATCCATGTAGTGTTAGTATGTCTGAGGAAAAAAGTGGTAAGTCTAAACAGTTGCTTTGACCTAAGAGTTTATGTAATCTTCACAAAAGAATGATTTCTGTACACACTGGAATCTCAGTGAGTTTAGATGCCTTACTTTTTTCTTTTTTGTTTTTAACTTACAGTTACCTACAATGTCCCTTGGCAAGTAGTGCTTAGTACCTACACGCTGAATGCTGGGTGAACTGGTTGGACGAACTTTGAATGGACTTCTTAGATGAAACTATTTAACGGATAACATGCTTCACATACAGATCTTGGCTGACAGCACGGAACAAGAGTGACATCTATATGTCTGTGATCTCTAAAAAAAAAAAAAAAACAAGAGCAGAAAGACAAGCAAGCCCTGCCGCTAGCTCAACATCACACAGCACTTCAGAGAAACACAGACACATGCAGCCCAAGTGCCACTGTAAACAATAAGATCACAACCTGCAGAGTCACACAATAGGACGTGGAAAAATACTCGTTTGTCCGGCTGTTTGTTTGGCTCTCTGTGGCATTTAAGATGCAGTTTAAAAAAAAACCCATAACACAGACAAGATGCATTAAAAATGATTAGTGAAATAAATCTGCTTGATTAAGACTTTTATCTAAACCTTACAGACAGAACATGTCACCTCAAAGGGGCGTTTGAATTCAGTTTTACAGAAAAAAAAATAATTTTAGCAGAAATTAACAGCTGTTAGAACAAATACTCAACCTCTGTCATGACTATTTTATCACAAATGTGGTTATTAGCAGTATGGTTAATGATTAAAAGCTTTTTTTGTGAGAACAGCACAAAAAAAACCCCAGAACGGTAAGAAATGAACAAAAAAAAAAAAGGCCTAAACCATTGGAAAGGGCCCTTAAATTAAACGAAAAGGGCAATAAACTAAAATTTTTTGTGACCGACAGTTGTTCATGGTCCAGATAGAACAGTAATGCATGGTTTAGCTCATACGATACTAATACTTGAATGAACAGTAAAAATTTCAATTGCCACAAATAAAATGAAGTTGTAAATGTGGTAACACTATTGCTGGAATATCAATGGAACAGATTTCACACATCAAAGTCAGTTTACAATTTTAGGTGAAAAAGGATGTTTACAGCCTTTAAGGCCTCCAGAGGAAGCTGTGTGAAATCTGGTAAATTGTTTCAACTGATGCCACTCAAATCAGCGCTGGTTTGGTTCATAGACTACACGTGTGACAACAAGTAAAATCTGGTGTGTGGAGCTAAAAAGAAGCAAGCCAGATCTCTGTAGCCCTCTCCCCATCTCTGCTTGAGGCTACATTTGCTGCTTACACACCAAAATCTCAGTTGAGTTGCATTGTGGGTAATGTATGCGCCAGGTTTTGAGGAGAAAGAATGCATGGAATAAAGCAACATTCTCTGGCTCTCCAGTGTCAGTTTTGATCTTTTAAAAACTGTCCATCCTGAGTCCAACAACGTTATAGGAGTGCCACGAGAGTGCTCTTTAAAATGAATTTGGAAATTACTTGTTCAAGCTTTTCCATGGAAACATTTTGACTTTGTTCGTAGCTTCTGCCAGAGAGCCAAATCATACATCCTGACTTCCACAAGACCACAGCAGGACTCGACTCAAAAGGGCCATCTGACTGTCTCATTAAACAGCCATTTAAGTGACATTCTTCTGTCTTCCTTTGTTCATGTTTGCACTATTACAACTGGGTTAGTAATATTTTCATCAACATGCCTGTACAAATGAATTTTTACTTTCAGTGCTTAAAAATTGTGCATGCTGGGATGGACTCCAGCCTTCTGCGACCCCAAAGTGGTTTAGAAAGATGTTTGGAAATTACTCAAGACTACTGAGCTCTAATACATAGTTCATTTTAGGATGAACCTAATCTGTGGTGCAGCAGACTTCACCCAAACTAAACTCATTGGGCTCATTAGTCATGTAAAGTGAGCTTGCCTTGCAGGACTTGGTAAGTAGCAGGTAACTGGGGAGACTCTGAGGAGAATGTGTCAGTGCTTCTTTTTCTTCTGTTCTTGTAGGGTGTGCTGAAGCTCTCTAAGGTTCTCTGACAGGAGCTCCACCTCGTCGAGACGGCCGCTGAGCTTTGCGTCAAAAATGTAGGCCCTGATGTTGTCAATCTGCTGCAGCAGCAGTTCCTCCTCTATCATGTCCACATCAACCTCATCATCATCTTCGCCGTCGAAGGGGTTGGTCGAGGCTCCTGGTGAACTCTCGGAGGCCTCCATGAAAGGGTTATCTGTGTCAGTGTCATCTTCCTCAAAGGGGTTGCCAGACACGGTCTCAGCCTGTTTGCCCTCGTCTGTGTCTTCATCTTCATCAAAGGGGTTGTACTCTTTTTTCCCGTTTGTTACCTCTTTGTGTTCCCTCTTGATGTCCTCAAAGAAGGGATTGGATGGATCCTCCTCAATGGGAGTAGAGTCTTCCTCTTCAAAGGGGTTAAGGGAGGTGCTGTTTTGGCCCTCGCCACTAGGGGGTGTTACATGTCCTCCTAAGCTCCTAAGTCTGGGAGGGGACTCCTCCTGGCTTGTGAGAGCAGGAAACGCCCTCACGGATGATGGACTCCTCTCAGCTTTAGGAGTCAGATCCTCTGCTGCTTCGTCTTCCTCTGCCTGGTAGCCTCCGGCTGGGCTGATATCCAGAGACGGCTCCCATGTGAAGGAAGGCTGGGTGGAGCCCACAGTGGAGCCCCATTGGCCCCTCTCCTCCCTTTCCCGAGCCTCCAGGCGATTGAGCTCCCCCTGCTGCAAGCTTTCCTCCGCAGCCAGTTTCTGGGAGAGAGCGATAGCGAGACTGGTCTGCTGCTGGTCGTACTCATCCTGCAGCTGACGCAAGTTCTCCTCCAACATGGCTACCTCATCCGTTCTCTTGGCCTCCCGCGCCTGACGAAGGAATGACTGAATGTTCTCAATCTGCTGCAGCAGGGGGTCTTCCAGCTCATTGCGTGCATGGACGGAGTCAGCAGACGGCAACCACCCACCAGCTTTGGTCATACGTGAGGCTCTCGGGGCCTGGGGCAGCTCTCCGTTAGTGTTGGCAGGTGGACGGTTCCTCTCTGACTCCTGCCTCTTCTTCAGAGCCTCCTGTACTGCCTGTTAAGTAGAAAACACATAAAGAACAGACATTTAGAAACTTGTTTGCCGACTACAAATCAACACAAGTATATGCACAAAATCTCACCAGTCTCTCTTGCTGGAGTCTCTTCTCTTGTTCCTGTTTCCTCTTTTCTTTCAACTCTTCATATTTCTCCTTAGTGGGTAAAGACATCAGACCCAACAGCTTCTCCTGTAATAGCGAGGACACACAGAACAGGTGAAGTCAGAGACAAGAAAGATCAGACGATAAAGACATATGTGACAGAAATACTAAGTCTATGTAACAGAGTGGTAATTAGAAACTCCATTTGGATGTGATTTAGCTCTCTAAGGGAGGAGAGTTGATCTGAGTAATTTTCATCATGTCTGGAGTGCACATGATTAAAAAATTAATTATTTGCATTTCAGACTCATACCTCTGTGATATTTACAGCCCTTATTACCTACTGCTTTTCAGTGAAATTGCTGGTCAGCTAATAATTTAAAGTCTAACTAAAATCCCGTCTAGTCATCCTATTTGTAGCAAAAAAATTATGTAATCATGTTTTTTTATTTTTAAAAGGAAGAGAAAAGGTTTTGAGGAAAATATCAAATACACTACTTTTCTTAGTCACTTTTGTGGTTGCTTGTTCAAAACACACGTTGAGTATTTATGTATTCATTTTTGCAGGCAAGGTGAGAAGCCTATGTGGCTGTTGTTCAGAGTATGAAACTACCCTCTTTTAATTGGTTGCACTGAAACAAAGTCTCTGACTACATGAATAGACACCAAAATTCAATTCTGCCAAATTAATGCAAAACTGGGAGGTGCCACCATGAAAAAAAACACATAAAAAATTCTCAGTTTGGTTTTAGCTTTTTTTTCTCTTCAAGAACATGAGAACTGAGTTCAAAACGGGAAACTCTCAACATAGCGTTTCATCAGCTCAGTGCGACAACTGAAGGTGAACACGATTTTACAAACCTAGCAAATCATTAATAACAGTCAGCTTGTACAGTAAAAAGTGAGAAAAAAAAAATCTTTTTTACGAGACCACCAATAAAATCACAGTAGAGGTGATAAAGGTAATTTTGCTTTCCAGGGTACTTTTGTGTAATTGAACTGGTTATAAATATGTACTGAGTTGCAGTACATAAGTGCTGTTCCACATGCAAGTCAATTTCTTATTCACTAACATTCACAAAAAAAAACAACCTTTGAGTAGTTTGCGAGTGGCAATTATTAATTCTGGCAATTGTTACAATACAATTAAATAACCATTGCTTAATAACACCTAAATGAAAAATATTACTTAACCCGCTCGTGCTGAAAGTCACTGGATTTGTGTTACAGTGCCGGCTCTTGTAATGCAACCAGTGGTTAAATTGCCATCCAGAATGATGACTTGTTGTGAGAGAGGAGGGGAAATACTTTGTTTCCCACCTCCTAATGTAATATTTATTTTGTAAATGAGTTTTTTTTTTTAAATTTAAACTTTTTTTTAATGCTAAGTACTGCCTGAACTTAGTCTCACCTGAACAAATAGTGTGGCTGTATAGCGGATCATTCTTTGTAGCTGGAGCGCCTTTGGATGCGGTTGTGGATCATTTTTCCCTCCCAGTGTTAAAATCCTCTTACTGAGAAGAAAAGAAATCAATTTATTCTTTAAACACACCATATTTAACAAACATGAAAAAAAGACTTGTGTTTAACTGTAAAAGTATCGGTTATGACCAACATGTACCTTAGAGCATCAATCAGTTCGTAGTATTTCTGGACCTCTAGTCTCAGTCCACCAGCAGTGTCAAGATTGTATGTGGTTTCTCCGGCACTAAGAAAGTGTACACCAGACAGTAAGCAACTGAAGTGTCTCTCAAATAAAATAAAACAAACATCTGTCACTTGAGATGTTATTAACTTCATAATTTTTTTTACTGCAGCTTACTTGAGAGACTCAGCCATTCGGATGTACTCTGGAGCTTTTTCATCCACCTTCTCCATGCACATCCTCAGCCTCTGTCAGGAAGACAAATTTTAGGCAAGTAAACAACAGGAAACCCCAAAAGAAAAACAAAGAATGACGGGAAGGATACAACAGAGTAAACTCAAGAGCTTGAAAAGAAAGCACAGAATGGACTGCACTGCTGGTGTTAGCGCTTCATTTAAACTGCTGATAAACCAACCTCGTAGAGTTTTACTATATCTGGCACATGGTCCTTCTCTTCTAACTTCTGCTGTCTCTTCAGCAGTGTGTCCATGCAGTGGTGACAGCAGCGGATCTTCTCGTCATCCTTTTCCTCCAGCATGGAGGTTACGCTGCTCAAGCTGCTGATACTGCCTCGTCTGGAGCCCATCCCACTGCTGCCACCTCCTGCTGGGGGAGACTGGGACTGACCAGGACTTCCAGGAACACACAGGGCTTCTCGAGTCCCATTAATCAGCTTCTCTGTTTATGGGAAAAAAAAAACAAAACTCACAGTATTGAGACATACATGGCAAAAGTTGAATTCTGACATTTGAATATTTTAGGTGTTTTGTGCATACATACGGGCCAAAGGTAAGGGGACAAATTCCATGCACTTCCTACACATGATGGACCCACAGAGGCGACAGTGGTGCCGTCTGTTACGGATGTTGAACTTGTTTCCACAGTCAGGACAGAACGGGACATCCGAGTCATTTACCCATGACACTACAGACTTCTCAATGGCTACAAGGAAGGATGAACACTCATTTTTAGAAAAGTAAATAAATCATACTTACTTACACTGAGATTAGTCAAAATTGTAATAAAAACACAAACCTCTGATTTTAGCAGCATCTGAGCTGGTTCTGTCAAACGATGTCAACTGAAACATACATTTTCATGGTAAATAGTCTGCACTGCTAAGCCTATATTAAACAGAATTTCAGCAAAAGTAGTGGGAAAATTATGGTTTAAATGATTTGCTAATGTATGCACACCTTTTCCAGTCTAATGATGAGCTTGTTGACCTCAATGACATAATGATCAATCCTGGCTGCGCGGTGTTTTTTAAAGAAGTCCTGGTGATTTCTAGTTGCGCCTTCAAAAGAAACAAGAAAGACTTCTGTCAGTGCGTAATATATTAAAACTTCTTGTACATACCTCCTATATTTTATAGCAGTAATTTCAAGACTGATGTCAGTGTTATGAAAATGCTAACTGAATGGCAAATAACAGTTTTATTCCAATTTTCCAGTCTCACCCAGTTCCTGAGGCTCCCACATGTATGGGTCCACTCCACCATAGTAGAAGGACTCATAAGTGCCAGTATCCGGTCTGTCATCTCCATCTCTCTTCAGCAGTTTGTCTTTGGCTTTCTTTGCCTTCTGAACCAAACCTGAACAAAAAACAATATCAGGAACCAACTGATGTGTGGAAAATGCAGAAAAAGAACTGTAGAGACAAAGGAGTGACTGCATTCGCTCCTATTTGTGTCTGTAGGAACATTCACTAATTTCCAAGTTCATCACCAATCTGACAAACATTGCATACCTCCATTTCCAGCCAAGAGCCTTTCTCTTCACATTTAATCATTTTTCTATTACGCAGAAAGCTGCAGCAGCGTATGTTGCCAATTCATCTTGCCAACAATTTCCTCTGGTCCAACACTGCAGCATCTTTTAACTATGCTCAGATACTGTACTAATGAAACTGTCTTTTATTAGACGAGACATTGCAAGGTAACTTTTGCTTCTCTATTCTGTGCTAGAACAGGATAGGAATCAAATGCCTGAGTGTCTGTGAGTGGAGTTCATAAGTTGATACATGGTTCTTACTTTTGAGCTGCCCCCTAACGTGGCGGTCATCCCCAGAGTGCTCCTCTTCATAGTGGTCTTGGAGCTGGTAGAATGACTGAAGGTCCTTCAGGCAAAGCGGGCAAAGAAAGCCCTCCTTCACTTCACCTGTGCCCTCAAAGGGAGGCGGGTAGCTGGAGGCCATGACAGCAGGCGGCTGTGTTGCTGCAGAAGAGGTGCAAGGCGGCACGATCCTGCTTTGGTCCACATGTCATGGGGTGTGCAGCCTACCCCATAATAGGTCCATGGTGCTTGAAAAAAACCTGGGACACTGAAGAGCAGGACAAAGCAGATTGAGGCTACAGACAGAAGACAAAATCCATACATGAAATCTCAGATAATTTAATTGAGTTCTGAAATTTGTGCCCAAAAACCCCAACACAGACATATATTATGGTGTATATGCAAATTTCAAACTATGCTTGGTCACTCATGCAAACCTGCATTCACTGCAATGACAGTGTGACTTTTATGTGACTGAAACATGAGCTGCAGGAGTGTGACTGCAATAAAGAGCGTCACAGCCACATCTACTGAACACAATAAGCTACATTAGATTGTGAAGCTACACTATATTGAATTAATTCTGGCTTACTTATCCAGATTTAGCCATTTTAGTGCAATACTGCTCACACGAATCAAGTAAAATGGTCTGATTTTACACACGCTTTGTTTTAGCTAACAGGCTAAAGTTATAGCAGACAGCTTAATGAGTTACACACGTCTAACATTTAACAGTAATTACAGTGCTTTAACAACACGTGTGTGTTTTTGGCGTCATGCATAGTTCAGTTACTTATTTTATTGGTGCATTTTCAACAACTAAAGTTAACGTTAGCTCAGACTTTTTCTTTCTTTTTCTTTTTTTTGTTTTTACACCCAATGCATACACTTTGTATATCCAGCCCACGCAGTTAGCGACAGACACACCTATCGAGATGATAAGTCTTTATATACTGGCTGCACACACATGATTTAAGTGTTCTATCTGGATACTAGCAGAGTTTACTAAGGACTTAATGCTACTGTTTCATATTTTGGCAAACTTTAGCCGCTAGACTTAACGGAGAAGCTAACGTTAGCAATGCTAACAGCAGGTCTAGCTTTCTTTAGCCATCTTTTCTCCAATCTCGTTGCTCAAAACACGATATTAAACAATTTCCAATGGCACAACAACAACAGCTCGTGGACTAATCAATACTACAGATCGTTTATACTTACAAATGTATCCGATAAAGACTGTGTTGTTGACAGTTTGGATTTTCTTTGACAGCTCGACAACACCAGCTGCAGCAGCAGCACCAGCCCTGCCTGGTCATGTGATTAGCATTCCGTCGCTACAGGAAGAGAAAAGGGACAAAAGGCAGGAAACGCACACGAACTGGATTCACTGTGGTAGCTGCATCACACAACTGGATCACAGTGTAAGTGCACGTGTTGGTGTCATGTTTTTTTTCGTATATTCTTCGTTTGTTTGATTCTACTTTTGCATTCTGAGTACTTCTTACCGTGCTGCTGGTAATGACGCAGATTTTTAGACTCCATGAAACTTAAATTTAGGCCTGTTCTGTTGCACAAAAGTTTGGCAGGACTAGTGGAGTGGGTTTGCTATTAGGCTGGATAAGTACGTGTGTAAGTTTACTGTGAGTCAGCTAATTTTGGGAGCGCTTACTTTATTGCAAATGAGAGCCTTAAGGTGGATCCTGCATTGTGACCTATAACCCCGAGGCTCAGTGTTGTAAAGCTGTCTTGTGTCAAATTCTAGTTTTAAGACTTAATTATGCCAGTTTCAGTTTTGGCCTTTAGCCTCCTCCAGGGAAAAACTCCATTTAGATGCCATGCCCAGTGTGTACCCAGTTTAAGTGGCATTGCAGGGTTCAGTGCACATGCAGTCCACAGTGAGTTGATGGAACAGGAGGCAGATTGGGGGCCAAAGCTTATTTGAGCCACAGGGCCCCTTGTGGTTATTCCAGTTCTGAATATAACTGGTATATCACCTGTCCTCAGTCTGAGGATGGAGTTTATCTCAACTGTGGGACTCAACAAGATACTGAGAAAGAGAAAAAATATTTGTAGGATTTTTTTTGTTTGTTTGTTCTGAAATCTATGATGCTTTTATTTATTTATTTTTTTTACAGCCTTTAGAATTCCTACAAAGTAAAATACCCTCAACAGGAAAAATGAAATGAATGAAATGAAAAATACTTTATTTATCCCAGAAGGGAAATTCAATTCAATTAAAAAATCTATAATTTGTCATATTGCTCATAATTAATATTGATGTGAGACCTGTGATGAGGGTTGCTGTGCTTCATTTTGAGGGCTCACAAATAATAAATGTTGTCGTGTGAGCGCTTCACTGTCATACTTGTACAGATCAAAACTAATAGGACTCTAAAGCCAACAAAACGTTTTTCCAACTTATGCTTTTTTTTCCCTTCATGCATTTCATATAGTCTGAAACAGACAGTTCAGGACATTTCTGCTGGAACTGAAAGTTTTGTGAGCGCGTGTGCACTTCAGTGAAACATCTCCATCATTAGGTCTCCAACTCCTGTGCTTGATGAATAATCTGCATATTGATCAGCTCTATGGACAGCTGCTCCCCAGGCTCTGATGGAATGAACCCAATTAAACAATCAAGTGGATACCTGACACTCTCTGTCTGCTATTGAACTGCATTCATTAAGAGACTCAGGCAGGGTGGATGCTTAGTTGGACACCAATTAGACCTAGTTGGGTTAAATAAACAGTTTAATTGAGCATTTGAGACATGAATTTACTGCAGCTAAATACGTTTTATTGTCCAACAAAAAAACATTGGGTGGTTGACTTTAAGGCAAAGGCAGCTTTTAATTGTCAACATCATGAACTTATGAACTCCATGCAGAAATGTAGAAAAATAATCAGTGACACAATTTATTTGCTGTGGTATTCGGTATATTTTACATTGGTAGAAAATAACGAAACACAAAGCAGTCAATGAAGGGAGGTCCTGTTACTGTAAACGCGGTCACTTTTTCATTTTAACTCGAGCATGAACTGTAGGCGACTGACGCGCGTGTGTTCCCTCACAGAGGCAACATCGCTGAAGCCAGCTGACTAATGCTTTTAATCATTGGACTCTCTATAAGCACGTGTATTTTAACTGAATAATTCCTAATGATATAATAATTTAATAGTAGATCAACATATGGCAGTAACTCTTCTGAAAACCGTATGTACAGAGATATAGTCAGTCCAAAGTTTTTACGCACAAGCTCCCCAACGAAAAAAACATAATTTGCGGTGAAACAGTAACTGCCAAAGAAAAACAATGGCACAAAAGGTTAAATGAAGTAAATTTCTTTTTTCGTTTTTCACAATTCATTATGGTCACTTTACTTTATACATTTATTGGTTTACAATACAGCAGTTTACGCACACCAGACTTTAGTTTACTCTCCTTCCACTAAATCCTCCTCCGGCGCAAACCTTTTACCCGGGTGTTGTCTCTTCTCCTCGGAGTGGCTCTTGTTAATGTTGTCTAAAAAGTCGAGCAGCAGACTGGTCTTGCTGCAACTCGCAGGGTCCAAACCGTCACACGGACTGTTTGTGCCTAAATCCGGACTCGAGTTATCCCAAAAGCGTTTTCCGGGATGCTGACGCTTTTCCAGCTCAGACAGGTCTTCTTCTCCATCCGCATCGGCGTCCCAGTCCCCGTCGCCGTCCTCATCCTCGGGATGGCGCTTACCTGGGTGCTGGCGCTTGCTGTGCAGCACCAGGTAGCGCTTGCCTGGGTGCTGTCGTTTAGAAAGTTCACTGAGCAGCATGACGGGGTTGTCAGAAATGTGTCCCACAGTGGTGCGCTTTCCCGGGTGCTGCCTTTTCTGAAGCTCCATGAACGAGTGCATCTCATCTTCGCGCTTGCCCGGGTGCTGTCTCTTTTGCACATCCAAGTACTGTTCGTCCTCGTCTTCTTCTCTCCTCCCTGGATGCTGCCGCTTCTCCAAATCCTCGCTGTACCTCTTACCGGGATGCTGTCTTTTTGTCACCCATTCCGGCAGCGAGGAAAACCCCTCTGGAAAAATGGAAAACACTTCTTAGATTACTTTCTAATATCACTTTATTGTAAAAATGTTTTTATCTCAGCTTGACTATATCACATGCGTAAATTGCGCACGACGGAGTGTAGTTGATGAGCCATATTCCTTACATTATATTATAGTACTGAGTGATTCATCTTTTCAAATTCCAATTTTAAACATTTTTACAAGAAATATTCTAAATATTTAGAACAATCTAACTGGAAAACACCCACAAGTAGGCCTACGCGTTGAGGCTCAGTACTTCTGAGAACATGTTCCCACTCACATAACCCAAACAAATAGCCTATATGACGATATCGGCATGAAATGATATTTAGTCACAATTTAAAACTAAAAATAAACCATTTTAAGAGTTTAATAGCACTATTTTGCCTAATAAAGTCAAAATTGGTGCCTGAAATTTGATCCAAAACGTAGGTTTTACGCACCGTTTCTGCCGTCTTCCTCCTGCAGCTTTTTGAGAATGGACCGTAACAGCAGATTTTCTGCTCTCTGTAGTATGATGTCGTCTATGGTCCTTGGGTCCGTCTCATCCTCAGCAGGGATGCCCTGTCCTCCAGACACCGTCAAGTTGCAGACCGTAAGAGAAGCCAGGATGAGCAGGCATGTCGACTTCATGGTAATTTACTTTGTTCGTCTGTGGAAGAAAATAGTTTCTGGTAAATGGTAAAATACATTGCAGAAATTCTAATAATGTAGCAGCAAGGTAAATTAGTCTGTGAAGCTACACTGCAGTAAGTATATTTGAGACTCCAAGTCCTAGTTTTCTGTGAAATAAGTGCAATTTGTTTTAACTTGTAAAGAGCAGTTTTATTCAAACTGATTGCTATCGCTTAGTTACTAAAATCCTAAAACAGGTCAGTGCCACTAAATCCGCAGCAGCAGCAGCAGCAGCATTTAAAGCTGTTCTTTAAACAGAGAAATGATGCAAACTAAATGTCATGCTTTCTTAAAACTTGCGTAATAAATTAGAATAATGCATAATAAATTTGACCCTTTCAGATCTGATGGAGCAGAACCTCTAAAACAACAGACAGGTTTAGATGACAGAAGAGTTCACTGTGAAATGCGCCAACTTCACCTGGGAAGTATCCAAGTTGTCCTCGCTCCCAGCTTCTGGCACCGCCGGCGCTGACTGCAGTTGCTCTCAGCTTTCTCGCAGCGGGTTGATGACCCTAAAGGCCAAGTCTGGAGGTATGAGCTGATAACTTTCTGTCTCAGCATTTATACTTTGCGGTCACTGTCGTCACACCAACGCTGGAGTAATTTTTCAGGATCCCTCGTCCTCATTGATGTCACCGAGTCGTGCGCAACTGGATGTGGTGAATGATCGCCCTATAGGGGCCGCTGCCCAATTCGTCATTTGGAAAACAAATAAATGACTGAAACTGAGAGAGACGACGAGCTCTACATGAGATAACTTCATTAATAAAAAACATAATTGTGAAGTCTGTACCGCACAAGTTATATATTCTCATTTTGGCTGAACCATCATTTTGATTGGTTTTGATTCATGATCTTTTCTTATTGAGCGCGCCTCCTTAGATGCAGCCTTTTAATGTATTTATTGCAAATAAATAGAGTATATAAGCCATCGAGTATCTTAACAAAGAATCTGAAGGTCTCCAATGGGGCGCCAGTAAGGGCTGCAGAGAGATGGAGGCTATCCATATTTTTCAAAAATGCCCTAAGGTCACAGGACTCAGGAGGGAGAGCTGAACCCATCTGGTTCCTTTGAGCACATGTAATGCAGTTTTTCTGGTCACGATGCAACACTGCTGAATACCAGAGGCAGCTTTAACAAGTTTTACATGGATGAGTGGGAGCAGGGGACTTACTAAGCAACCGGAACTGGTTAAATGTGATAGCTTGTGTAGGAATTTTAATGTTCAGTGCCTTGTAGGCATGTTTTCCCCATTTAATTCTCCGCCAGTAGCTTTTAAGGTTGTCAGAATGAGCTTTTTCAACAGTGTCTGACAGTATTATGTACTGCATATTGTGTGCCATTTTCTTCCAAATCTTTTGTGAAGCTGTCTAATGTTTTGTGAAATATTCAGACCCAAGCTTCCATATGGTGCCAAACAAATCTGAATAAATCATATATATTGTGTTTAAATGTATTCGCACTCCTCTGTTTTGTAATGACTGCCCCTGAGCTGTTTGAGTGGAATTTAAGAGAGTCAAATTTAGCTCTACTGGATTGATGTCTGATTCAGCTGCAGTATTTTTACAGAAACTGGTGCAATCAAGGAAACCCAAGTACAACCATTACACAGTATCACACAGTGTTCTCTCACCATCCAGAAAGTGCTAATGTAATTTGCAGAGGTTTGAAAACATAGATTTATTTTCAAGTATCTGTTTCTGTGCAGAAAAGAAGGGTACCAGTATCGGCTTGAGATAACACAATCACATGAAAATGGACATAAACACACAACAGTCATCTTAGCTCAAGTCGGTGAAAGTGCACTTGAGTTTTCTTACAACTGAGTCGGTCTGAGCACAGGATTCTTCTTTCTGCAGCTGGTTCTTCCAAAGAGGTTTTCATTTACAGTGTTGTTTACTGTGGATTTTTTTTTTGTGTTCGACTGTGTGGTTTCTCTGTAAGAAAATCAGGAATTTAAAGAGATTTGGCCCTCATAAACCTGATGCTGTTGAATATGAGACTTTTCACTCTTGTGCTTTGATCCAAATCTGTCCAAACCTGTCTTTATGAAACTATCAGTGGATCTGCCCTTGTCTATTATGCAGGACTGGATAAACTCCTTGCATACTCACACTCAGTCAGTGCTGAGAGAATTGAATTGGCCGTGTAATGCTGTAATTACTTGCTTTCAGTGTGCTGTCACGTCCAATACATCAGGCGGGTTTAGACTCGCTCAGTTAGGCACATCAATATCATGGTTAAAATCATTCAAGATGCCTTGTGATGTGAATGATTTTTATTGAGAAATCTCATTGGTCTGTAGCTCATTTTATAGCAAGAGTGTGGCTAATTTTCCCATTTGTGAAGAAAACAGAACAGTCCACGTTTCATATTTGTAAAAGATTGAAATGGAAATAACAGTAGTTCACAACAAAAGGTTAATGGGTAGGTTAGAAAGGTTTTTATGTATTTATTTTAATAAAGTGATCAAAAAGCATGTTGTTAAATCCCCCTAGCCTCACTTAAACTCAGTTACAACATGAGGAGGAGGAATTAGTCTCAGTGAACCGAAAGACCTGTCTCTGTCTCAGAGCGAGTTCTCTCTCTGCGCTGCGTCGCCTCACGCGAACACAGAATGGTACAATTAAGACATGTCTGATCTGTATGAGCATCCACCTCCTTTCACCTATCATGTAGGTCCCCTCCCTCCTATTAGGCCCAGTGCGTAACGACATGCCCAAAGGAACCAATTAATTGCCCAAGAGAATGCGTAGTTGGATTTTAAGCAGTTCTAAAGGCCAGCATGTGCTTCGATGAATGAAAGTCTTGCGATCCGGCCGAATTTCTTTGGAAAATCTGACGTCCTCATAGTGAAGAAGTAGAACAATTAGAGCAGATGGAGTGATTGTTGCCGGTGCAGTAGCATTCAGCCTTTTTCCTTTTATCACTGTAAGGCTTTGATTAAAATACAGCCTCCTTTCTCCCAATTCACTATCATTTATCCTCCATAAAAAAACAAAATAAATAAATAAATAAAAAAAGCTTGCTATCAAAGTCTTTCAGCGCTGGGAAATCATAACAATTAGTATTCTGGGCAGCATTATGCACCTCATGTACTGAGGAAGAGGAGAGGGTAAGTGTACACCCTGTGCGGTGGGAGAAAATAATAAGACTCATTAGCCTCTACCCCCTGTTTACTCTAGCTGGTGTTGTTATATATACTTCATATCATCATGGTGAAGTTCTTCGGTGTGGGAAGAAAGTTTCTGCAAAATGTGACTACAATATAGTGTATCCAGATTAACATCGCACAGATTCCAAACTTTTATTTAGAAAGCTTTGCAGTCTTATGCAGGACTGATTTATTGTGAATTCTGGGTAAAATACTACTTTGTTTTCTAATGAAAGAAAACATGAATGACAGATCAACTGTGTCGTAGTTTCCTTGGACAATTGAAAATGACTGAAACCATCCTCGCAGTTGTATATTTCTAACATTTAATACACATATTGTGTTCTTTCTTGTTATTTGGTACTACTGGTTAGTACTAGTGTTTAATCTTTTTAAACCTACTGCCTATGGAAATGTGGGTCAGCAGCTGTAACCGATTGTTGCCATGGAGACAATGTTCAGCAGCTGTTGCTGACAGTTTCCATGGAAACAACAGGTCGACAGCTGCTGCTGTCTTTTAACATGGGGTCATTGTTACCATGGAAACATGTCTTGTAGTTCTAGGTTAGCCTGGCAGTCGGGTAGCTAACTTTTAGGTCTAAAATAAGTTCCTCTTTATTTTTGTGAAAAAGTGACACTTCATAAGATCTTAAAATGGATGAAATGAAGTGATTGATATTCTTATAGATCAGTGCCAATATTTTGCTTTCTATGACCGTTACTTTTGAATAATTCTGACTTTATTTGTGTAGCACATTTCTTAACATGATTTCTAAACATTTTACTTTATAAGGCTCTATCTCTCTATATCTATATATAATAAAATTATTTATTTAACAACTCTCTTAAGAAGCAGTTGAAATTTGTATATATTCAAAGTAACATAATATACATGAGTGCAACTGTTGGTGATTAATCTCTTTAAACTCATTCAGGTAATTTTTAAAGAGAAATTCCCTCCAGTTTGCACATTGCAATCTGTTCTCAAGTCTTAGAAAGTATTATATATATATATAGATAGATAGCTATCATAAACATGTATAATGCTCTTTGTGGTTTTTGAAGGAGCAGCACAGAATCTGAAAAAATGAAGTTATCAGAGCCCTGTAGCCTGCTGCTCATCTGTGTGTGAAGCTACATTAGCAGCTACTAACAGACCCGACTCTCCAACGTATTAGGGTCGAGTTGCATTTTGGCTAATGTAGTGATCAGGTTTTATCGTTGACATAGAAAAGATGATATCTCTGGTGGTTCTGCTGCATCGATTCTTCCGATTATTTCATTAATGTCACAGCAGTGCTCTTGTAAGAACGCGCACACCTTGTATCAGATTGTAGCTTCTTGTTCTATTCTAGATATGCAATCAGGTTATGCACAATATTTTTTACCACACTGAGTTTCACTTTTGGCTTCTGCCTTGACCTTGTCTAATGTCATCTTAAGCACTTCATTTATGTTACTAATGGTGTTGCTGAACCCACCCCCAGCAGAATTAGCAGACTGAGACCTAACAGAGCTAGCTGATGACAAGCAGTTGTGATACTAATTATCCAGGATCACTGGGATCAGTAAAGCCAGATAGCACAAAGAGAGCAAGACAAAGTTGGATTTACTTTTTGAAACAGGCTCCTGATGTTGTGTTTTTTCTCTCCAATATGCAGCTCAGGAGACTAAAAATATTTCTCAGTAATTTAGTGCTTGAAGATCCCTGCAGGATTCAGTGTGATCCTGGCTGTTTTAGAGCCTGGAAGTCATAGACAGAAGACAGCTCTCAAAGAAAAAAAAAAAAATCCAACACAA